TCACCTGTGTCTTAAAATAGCCGGAAATTCGGAAAGTCAATCGATCTTTATAACCGTGTTTATCTCCCGAGTGGTAGTTAGATTTGAGATCGACTCGTGTAATTTGAGTTTTCGTACAATAATGGTACGTTTTGTTCGACAATCAGGGAAGAATCCTGGGAAATTCCGGCCTGAAAGTCCGGAATTTCAGTGGCATTTAAATTGGCGTGAAGAACCGGCACGGGTGTTACGTATCTTGAAGAGTGACATTTCGTCGTTTTTTTACCTTTATTAGGTTTTTTTGTAACATAACGTAGGTTTTTCTACAAGATATTAACTTAGCACAAGCTGTTGTACACTTGTTGTGAACTCGTTTTGCAGTTGTACGTGTTGCTTAAGCGTCAACGAACAGCTAAAAATTACCTAGCCTGCAACATGACATTTCGTCGGTTTTTTGACGTTTTTTAGGTTTCTTACAAAATACCAGTGCAGGACTGAAATGCCTTATCCAGGTTCATTCAGCGCTTTTGGGGCTAGGTATAAATTCTCTCAATGAAATTTGACTTATGTTTAAAATTCCAGGTTTCGTTCGCGTTCTATTGCATATTTTTCGAGGGATCAGTACTTTCTAGTTGGTTAACGACTGATTCATGGCTAAGAATATTTTTTGTTTAATAAATAATATGACGTGCTATTTTCTACATAACTAAATAGTAAAATATTTGATGTGGGAAATGTGACCGAGTTCTATTTTACTCCCCACGCCTACTGGCGGAGAACTATTTTACTTCTCACACCTACTGGCGGAGAACTATTTTACTTCTCACGCCTACTGGCGGGGAACTATTGTATGTATCATACGAGTATGTCACTCATTTCCGTCGGTTTGTCTGTCTGTCCGCTAATCTTATAACCGCCTATAACTTGAGAAGTACTGCTCGGATTTCGATGAAAATTTTACACAATGCCAAGGCCGCAACAACTTTGTAGTTTTTGAAAATCGGTCCAATCATGGCGGAGAAAAAGGCGAAAAACGTTTCAGACGATCCTGATCATTTTCTGAAAAAATTTTGCAGGTCTCAAAAATTGGGGGTTATGGGTTGCAGGGGGTGGGGAGAGTATATTTCAATTTTTGGGTATATTTATGCGCGTCCACCCCAGTAATTCCACGCATATATACTCAGTGACGTTAGAAGTGTTGCACCCAGAAAATATAATTTCTGTAACTTGACTACATCAAGAATGAAACGATCACATTCTCACGAAATTTTAGTGACAAGTAATAAAAAAAATTAATAATGTGTTGGGCGACCCCGCAGCCGAATACACTCCTGTATACGTCTAGGGATCGACAAAATGAGATGATCGATGTCTGGTTGTGGCACCTCATTCCAAGCAACTCGAGATTCGTGGATTAGCTGTGGCAGAGTCTATGGCGGATGGTGCAAAGTCGATAGTCTCCTCCCCATCATATCCCACACATGTTCGATGGGATATAAATCAGGCGAACGGGGTGGCCACTACTGTGGACTTCGTGCACTGACTATGCTGAAGTTAAATATCGCCATTCACGCGGGATTGATAATCGCAACGATCATGTGCACCTGCAGCAATTCGTCTCAGGGGGAGGAGGAAGGTCATTTAATTTATTTTTTGTTATAAATGTTCGTCGCTAACTTTTTTCTCAGAAGGGCTAACTTGTGCCAAACAATCACTCACCAACTGATGACAGCGTAGCGTGGGAAGTACAGAGTCAACTTACTAGACGCAATTTTTTGGTTGACGAAGGTGAGTTTTTATTTGTTTTTTCTTTTCAATGTACTGCAATGGCCTGTAGTCCCTTATATTTTGGCTGGACTGCTGAATTCCGCATGCCATACATGTCTTCATACATTTCATATCGAGATTCCACTAGAATGTGTTTAGAAATATTTCGAATTCAATGACAATGTCATCCTCGCCGATATTCCAGACTTCTTGAGCTAAGCAGGGGTTTTGAATTCTCTTGGTTGGTGCTCGCCGCCCTAAATCTTCCTTCTGCCATTCTCAGCTCGAAAACAACTCTTCATCCGGACATTACTGCAGTGCAACGGTAAACATCTCAACATTCTCGCCAAGGCACGACTAGGATACGGATCGTTTCGAGTATGTCGTTCAGAGATTCTTGTATCCCGTAAGCGAGAGCAGTTGAAAGCCATGTCGTCCTATCGTTGTAGTTTAGTCGATAAAAGCGTCAAACTTTAAATGGACCTAACAGCTGTCGCGTTGGAGAGTTTGGAGTCGTTTACAACACAATGAGATGTTTGGAGTTATATTTAGGAATTTTGAGATAGGTGCTTAAGCGGTGTCGCCGAACAAAAATGACGAAATCGGTAGATAATGTCGTTGAATTTTTTTCTACAAAAAAGCAGCCGCGCAGGCAAAAGCCTTAAATGTCAGTTCACTGCGGCTGCTATGAAGGTTCCAAGGGAACTTTGTTAATCCGATTTTTGAACTGAATAAAGTTAGTAGAACTGGGAAAAGCCTCTTGTCACAATCTCGGCGCACTACGGACAAAGGAGCGGTCGTATCGGCAACTTGTGGATGTACGAAGTTCGACACGGTTAGGATGGGAGGCCGAAGTCAGGCGGGTCTGTCTCGCAGGCATATCGCGCGGCGGCATGATGGAAGAGAGCTCTGAGGAGCAAAGCACGTTGGTGTAGCGGTAGAAGAGAGAGCGTCGGTACGAAACGGTCGGTAAATTCAAGGACAAAACCGGCAGTAATAAACAATCAGATCCATCGTAAGATCAGCCGTAGATCAATGACCTTTGCGTCTATGAAAAAGTATATTCTTGTATTCCGCGCGTACTCACACAACACATTTTTTTTGAGAGCTTTCAAAAAATATAATTTTTTTTATTTCATCTGGTACAATGAGCATACTGTTCGCTCTTCAAACTCCTTTGTAACCATCCTGGAAACTCCTTTCCCCATTCTTGTTTATAGGACTCAATATTTTTCTGTTTTACCCTGAACTTGAAGCATCATCTGACATCTTAATTCAGTATATATAGATAGTATTTAATTAAAAGCAGATGAGCTTTGGTTTCCTTATTGATTGTCCGGTGATTCGGTAATGGTGGAGATCTACCAGTCTGCACCTGTTGTACGCACAAAAACCAATACCAGCAAAGCGGAGTGAGCTGTGTGCGTACATAATTATTTTTGGTCCAAGCCTTGTTTCGGTAAAAAATCTGGAAATATCTGAATTATCTAAAAAAATCGTGGAAAATGAGAACGTGTTCAGTATTTTGGTAAATAGGTCTCATTTTGGTATAAATACTGAAAAATCGGTAGGTTTGGCAACATTGGGCTTGAGGTCTGAGAGGCTCAAGACTTGTATGTTTAAACATACTGCTTTCGTTAATTCGACCATAGACAGCCAACCATGGCCGTATGTTTATAACTCATCAGCATGGTCTAGGCTTTGTCTCTGTGACAAGAGAGGAAGGACATGAGATCTATGGAAATAATATAGCACAAAGCGTCATCTACTATCAGATTAGAATCCACCACTCCGAGAGTATATAGCAACTATCGGTTGGAACTGTAAAGATCTCAGTTCGCGTTTGATAGCACATATAGCACTAAGACCGCTAGAGGCTAACCATTCTGGTGGTAAGCTGGACACGGTCTACTCGCCATGAAACGATTCCAATGTACGGGGAGATCTATGATGTGCGAAATATGTCTAATAAGAGCGTAGAATTACCGGGGCTGGAATTGTATTGATATACTAATATCAAAAAATTGCTATACACTCTCACCCACCCCCCAATTAATTACCCCTAAAGATTTTTTTTTTGATGATAAGGAGCTTCTGAAACGTAAGAAACGAAGTATGAGGGATCTTTACATTGTTCATTTTCGGCTTCCGTCCGAGGAACCGACATGTCATATAATATCCAAAAAAACATTATACGAGGGGCACGCTGTATATTTTGAGATGCGCATTAACTATATTAGTTAAAACCGGCAAGTTATTAGAAAGAGCAGTCCTTTATTAGTAAGTCGCCGTATTCAGTTCATTTGCAATCGTCTTACAGAGCACGTGGTGTAAACAAATTTAAGACGAAACATGGAGTCGTCTCGAGAGAGTCATCGCTCTATGATTTACCATGACCTTTTAAAGTCGGTTTAACTGAACATCAATGAATCGAACGGTTACAAGAGGCCTTTAGAAATGAAGCTCCGTTCCGGGCAAGTGCGTTTCGCTGGTATGCCGGATTTAAAAGAAGGCGTGTTTCATTGGCTGATGAAGAACGTCGCGGTAGGCCATGTTCTAGTGTGACTCCAGAAAACATTGCTAAAGTTCAGCGGCTAAATGAAGAAGCTTCTCGCTGCACATATGCGCACCATTTTGCATGATCATCTTCATTGAAAAAAGATGTTGCAGAGGTACAATTCTGCATCACGACAATGCCTGTAGCCACACTGCCCAACTAACTGTAGACTTTTTACGCCAGCGAAACATCAAAATGCTAGAAGATCCGCCTCATTCGCCAGATTTGGCAATGTGTAACTTCTGGCTCTCTGACTGGTTAGAAGCATTTCATTTGTGGAAGGTCAGGTTACAGGAGTGCATTGATGCTGGACTAGAATACTTTAAACATAAATAAACTAGTTTTCGAAAAATAGTTTTTAGTTTTCATGTATCTTAAAATATATAGCGTGAGCCTCGTATCGAAATTTTTCGCGATTACAATACTTCTTCGCCACCATGCGTGGGAAGTGAGAAACGAAAGTGGTTGTTAATAGCGCACAAATGTCCAGACGTTTACTAATTAGCCCTCATCGTTGTGGGGCAAGCCATAAGCGTCCAAAACTAGGTTAATAAACTTAGGACAATCGTGTACCGTTGTACAAGCGTATAACCTACGAAATTGTGCAGCCCCTCCTCTTACTTCCCACCCCTTAAATTCCCTTACTATCCCATCAGTGCACGCACCCTGGTCTGGAACCCTCCTCGGGACGCAGCCGGCGCAGCCTCCCGACGGCATCCGCATCCGTCGCCACGGTAACGCTCCACGCGACGCCCCTCGCTCTATTCTCTATTCTGCTGTGCTGTCTCAGTCGCGCTCCGTTGCTCTAAATGCACGCGTCGCGTCGCCCGTACGCTCAATCTGTCTCTTCAGCCTGTCCGAGGCGCTCTCCGTAGTTTCTGTCGTAGTGTGCTTTGACTCATCTATAATACTATACTCCTTCCACTTTGAAACAAACGAATACAGGGTCCTTCGTAAACGACTGATTAACTTTTGACAATAATATTCGTATACATTTAGAATTCTGGTCTCGAGAAATATTTTCATTAGATGAAGGTAACATTAAGTTGTTTTGAGTTATTTTTTTATATTAAGTCAGTTCAAGTTTACTAATATTGCCTTGCTTCTGGAATGCTGGAACAATAATTATATTTCTTTCAGAATGTAGTTACAGTTATAATTTCCAACAATATTTCACTAGGAAATAAACTGTCAAGAATTCTTCATATTTCCAGAACTTATAGTCTTATATTTTGTTATTAATGTCGATGTTCTAATGTTTTGCCCATCTGAGGCGCTTTCCTTAGTTTCTATCGTAGTGTGCTTTGATTCATCTATAATACTACTTCACACTTTGGAACAAATGAAGACACGGACCTTCGTAAAAGACTGATTAACTTTTGACAATAATATTCGTATACATACCTCAGGATTTCGAATTCTGGTCTCCAGTAATATGATCATTTAATGAAGTTAACATAAAGTTGTTTTGAGTTACTTTTTTATATTAAGTCAGTTCAAGTTTACTAATATTGCCTTCCTTCTGGAATGCTGGAACAATAATTATCTTTCAGAATGTAGTTACAGTTATAATTTCCAACAGTATTTCACTAGGAAATAAACTGACTTATGTCAAAAATTCTTCATCTTCCAGAACTTATAGCTTTATATTTTGTAATTAATGTCGATGTTTTAATTGTCTGCCCATCTGAGGCGCTTTCCTTAGTTTCTGTCGTAGTGTGCTTTAATTCATCTATAATACTACTTCACACTTTGGAACAAATGAAGACACGGACCTTCGTAAAAGACTGATTAACTTTTGACAATACTATTCGTATACATACCTCAGTATTTCGAATTCTGGTCTCCAGTAATATGATCATTTAATGAAGTTAACATAAAGTTGTTTTGAATTATTTTTCATATTAAGTCATTTCAAGTTTAAAATGCTAGAGTTTGTCTCTCAGAATGTAGTCATAGTTATAATTTCCAGCGTTATTTCACTAGAAAATAAACTGACTTCTGTCTAAAGTTCTAGAATCTATAGCCTTATTAAACATGACGCTTTCGTCCTTCCGGCCAAAAGACAGCCAACCATAGACCGTGCTTTTTGGTTACTCATCAGAATGGTCTAGGCTTGATCTCTGTCTCTGGGACAACGAACGAAAGCTATTAAATGCGAACTGAGATCTTTACATTTCCAACAAATAGCTGTCGTGCACTGTTCGCAGTGGTCGATTTTGGCGATAGATGGCGCTTTGCGCTGTCTTATATTTTGCAATTACTCACGATTTTTCAATTTTTGCCCATCTGCGCGCTTCCCTTGGTTTCCATCGTAGTATGCTTTGACTTATCTATACACTTTAACCACAGCTTAGATAACAATCGGCTATGAAACTCTCCTGTCAGTGTCAAAGACGGCCGCCATTTCGGAGGAGAAAATCGCATGTAATTTCCCCTAGTAAAACGATTAAAGAGGTTTTAGTGCTAAGCAGCAGCCGGTGTAAACATTATAATATTCCTGTATAATCTAGAGTAGTTTGTGTGAATCAATAATCAGAAGCTTAACAGAGCAACAAACTATTGATATGACTATTTATTGACTTATTATTTATTTGACTTTAAAATAAATTTGTATTTAGAAAAAACGGAAAAATATTTTCTTTTGTCATGCATTATTCGCTGCTGCGATATTCTAATCCATTGCATTTTCAATGTAAACACTGTTAAAAACACCAGGCGTATTTGTTACAAGAAAAAGGAAAGCGAACCACCAGCAGAGTGACAACCAACTTCTGACTACTCCTCAGCTAAGATAGTTCAGATACCCAAAAAGGTTTGTTATAAAAATAATAGGCAACTTTACGCTCCTTACTTGGAAAATATGCCGCTGTGCTTTAACTTTCAAACCAACGAATTTGTTTATGCAAAAAAGGAAAAAATAGAAATCGCTTAAACTCCGTTTTTTTCACGCTTCAGAGTCTCCTGATCATTTTCATGAAAAATCATATGGGCTAATTTGTGGCGAACATAATCCTTTATGAACTAATGACAGCTTTGCGTAGGAAGTGCAGCCAATCTACTTGACGTCATTTCTGCCTTTCCTATAGTAGTAACTAGAGTCAATACTGCATCAAAATTCGATTGGTGTTATTAAAGTTACCGGACTGATAGTTTAATCAAAATGAATACCCGCTTTCTGGATTTACTCCTATGGACGTGGGAAGTAAAAACCGCCCGTCCTTCCTAATACTACATACTTTAAACTGAAAAATATGCAGAACATGTTTTCGCAGGAAAACGTAAATATCTTGTAAACATCCTCCATGTTTCCTTCGAAGTTTGCATAATATGGTAATTAATCATCCCCTATTGTGCTTGTGATGGAGGAAAATTTGCTGCGGGCATGTTTCATATGTAGGAGGACGCACTATTACTCCCCAAGCTACCCTGAAGCTGCGCAGCTTAGTTATAATATCAGCATCGTATTTGCATACAAGCAATTAGGAGTACGTGATTTTAAGTATGTGCAAATTTAAATTGCCAACATCAGCGTTGAAAGTTATCCTATCGAATAAGTATGGTGGTTTTTAAAAAAAACAATTTTGTGAAAAGAATTAGTAAGAAAAAATTTGCATCAAGCAACTTACGCGAAACTCTTTCAAACTTGCTTAGACCGTAACTGAATCTTAGTCAGGACCTCTGCACACGCTCAATTCTGTCCATGTCAATCTTGTCTAAACAAATCCCATATACACTATCACGAAAAAGACGTCAAGTAGGTTAACCCTGCACTTACTACCCAACGCTGTCATTAGTTCATAAAGGATTATGTTCGGCCCAAGTTAGTCCCTTTGAGCTAGCTACAAACGTGTATGACAAAAAAATCAAATGAGTCAAGTCAGCCAAACAGGCCGATATACAATTAGTTCATAGTTCATAGTCCCAACGATTTGATAACGCAAACGATAGTTTCTTCCTTGCCCCAAGTATTGACCATCTGGCAATGCTACTGGCCCCGGCGAAATTTGTGGACTCATTCTTGTCTTTCAATGTGCCAAGTAACATCACATGATATTTACTAGCATTAATTTGTACACCATGATTTTCCGAAATTGCAATTAGTCATTCAATATCTTGGCAATTTCTAAGACATTGGCTTAGGTTGGAGGTATTAATACTAAAAACCAGAGCACCTCAAATGGAGCCTTGTGGTATACCCGATGGGATGACGTCTTCAGAGGAATTCTCTTTATCTGTTTCTACATATTGCGATCTGTTAGTACGCTCGCCCTTGGCTGAAACGGTAGCTTCTTGCTCATTTTCGGAGAAAAATGGCCGAATTGCGACGCCGAACTAAAATCTTTACCAAGTAGTGGATGTGTGGATGCTCTGATCTCCGAACGTCTCAATTTTACTTAATTCAGACACCCTCCGAGGTGAAAATGAGCTTCATCTAAAATGTTATCCCTTTATACGAAAGATATGGGATCAGACGAGAACAGTAAAAAAGTTCTCCTTATAAGACATCGACGCGACGTGAAGAGTATTTTTAGTGGATATACGTGTTTGTCATATTAAAATCGCACTTATTTGGAAACTTTCCCTTGCGTTTTTCCTTGCACAAGAATGGGATCGCGTACATTATGGAGTATGTGATCCACTTATAAGCCTTGCGCGAAGGAGATAACCGTGGTATATAGACTATGAGCAGTAATGTTACTTCGCGGTCGCACCAGAGAGTTAACTGGATTTTGATCGTCATATGTATGATCCTCTATATTTTCGATTTTTGATTATGTGGCATGGTACTATCACTCGAGAAGATAAATCCCCGCGCGTGAGGTTAGTCTATCTCTTTCGCACGCGTGGCGTTACTCGGTGACAACATTTCTCAGTGACGGGTGGCAAACGTTCAGTTTTATATGGCGCTTTAGCACGTACTTTGTGTCAGGTTTCGTTAGTTCTCAGGTGTGTTTCAAATAAATCTTTGTGTGAAATATAATTGAAAAAAAAACTGACGTCGAAATGTGTACGAGAGAGAACCGCGAGAAGCGTGCAATACGTGTGTTAAAAGCACCTCGTTGCCCAGAAACCCGTGTACGAGGTCACAGATGCCATCGGCACACTTTTTCTGACACATATTGCACGCTTCTCTCTCGTACACATTACGACGTCAGCTAAATTTGAACCTTACCGTATATAATACTGAAGTTATCGTATAAAATTGATCATACAAAAAAATGTTAGGTGAATATTCGAAATATTAAAAAAAAACGGAACATTTGTCACCGAGTGACGCCATGCGCAAATGGGTACGAAGTTGTTTCTAACGTTTCTAAACTGATGGGGCTCCATACAATCATAGTGTTCCAAATAATAGCCGATAATGGTGATTTTTTCCGCTAAATGGAAAAAGCAGTTTAAATTGAGTGTGAGCATATATCTGTTTATCGATAAGTGTTAATATATTCTAGTCTTCGGCGCCGGCGTTGCGAACGTTGGGCTTTTACCTAGATATATGTGAGTTAATTTTGATATATTTCATATTTCATTCCAATATTTGTTTCTTTGAGTGCTTAGTCCCAATCTAAAGTTTGTTAACAAAATTACCTGTATACACATCTTAAAAAGACATTAAAAAATGCAAAATATTGGGAGACTTGATGGATTGATGGATACTTTCAAATTCAAATTCTTTGTTTTCATTTTGACACATAATTGTGTATAGGAATCGTCATATAAAAACATACATAAAATGCAATGTACAAACACATTTACATGAGAATACAAAATAAATAGGTAAACGGACAAACAAACACTATTTACAAACGAATCCAGACACCGATACTGAAACTTTAACTTTGAGTTTTATCTACTCTAATTTTCAATCTAAAAGTTCTTAGGAAGTATAGTATATCTTTACTATTGCGTTATAAATAGTAATTCTATGCTCTCATTTTAGTGCCATCAGATTTCATACAGTATTTCTGCCCTGCTGAACGTGAGTACCATTGGCTCTTTGAATATCCTCTCCAGAGAAATAAAATGTACGC